GGGGGTCAAACTTTGCAATGAGGCGCACAAACACGCCGGAGTGCTCTGGGTCTAGAAATTCCCAACTTCTGATAAATAGGAAATCTTATTACCTAACCCAAACTTCTTTTGTCGTCAGATGCATTTGGACAACGCTAAGTTTTCCGTCAACCTGGACGTGAAGCATTTCTCGCCGGAGGAGCTGAAGGTCAAGGTTTCGGGGAACGTGATTGAGGTCCAGGGGAAGCACGAGGAGCGCCAGGTTGGTCTCTTCGGGGGACGAGCTCGCTCGGCAGGGCAACAAGAGGGGAACTGGGTTACATTTATATGTCGCCCATCTCGCTCTCCAAAGAGACTCCGGAGAGGCCACGCGGCCAACGTAGCCGCACCTGGCGAGGCTTACAGCAGGGCATGGAGGGAGGCCAAATTAATTGACTTATTGTTTCATTTAACATCAGGGGCAGCAGAGATGAGGTTAATCGCGAGATTGCCCAGGTTCTTTCGGGGTAACTTGTCCAGTTCTCAGGGAGAGGATAGTTCTTAACCCAGCACCCAGAAACCTAAATTGGAAAGCTGAACACAAGAGCTTTTTCACTGTAAGATGCTGCTTATTTTATCTATTTACTAGCCGATAACCCTGCGTTGCCCGAGTATTTATTTATAGGGGGGAAATGTCTTGACCAAACGTAATTTCTAAGGTTGGATTTTCCCCCTTGTGGAGTACTGTAAAGCTGTTACCATGGCAACTGCACTGTGCTGCACAGTAGAAGCAATTTGAAGGCACAACAGGCTGTATCTTAACAGAACACACACCCCAAAGGGTGTTAGGGGTGTCTTACCCCAACAGTATTTGTTTCCAGAGAGTAAGTCATCTGTGTACCAAGTTTGGTTGAAATTACTCAAGGCGTTCCAGAGTTATTCTGGAACAAACATACACACAGCCGTTTTTATATAGACAGATTCAAGATTCATTCATTCATCATTCATTAGATTTATATCCTGTCTTTATTACTGTATAAGTAATTCAAAGGAACGGAAATACTTACTACTCCTTCTTCCACCAATTTTTCCCCGTAACAACCATCCTGCGAGGTGGATTGGGCTGAGAGGGGGACTGGCCAAAAACCCATGCAGCTGGCTTTCATGCCTAATGCAGGACTAGAACTCACCATCTCCCAGTGATCGGCCCAAAGTCACCTAGCTGGTTTTCCTCTTCTTAAGGTGGGAATAGAACTCACCGTCTCCCGGTGATGGGCCCAAAGTCACCTAGCTGGTTTTCCTCTCCTTTCATGCCTTATGCAGGACTAGAACTCCCCATCCCCTGGTTTCTAGACCACCAGTTTCACCACTGGACCAAACAGGCTCCTGCAGGCCGATTCCCAAACTAACGCCTTTTCTGCCTCTCCCCACGAAGGACGAACATGGCTTCATCGCCCGGGAGTTCAACAGGAAGTACAGAATCCCAGCCGACGTGGACCCTCTCACCATCACCTCCTCCCTCTCCTCGGATGGCGTCCTGACAGTGAACGGACCAAGGAAACTCAAGGAAGTCCCGGAGCGCAGCATCCCCGTCACGCGGGAAGCAACATCGGCCCTCCTCCCAGGACCAAGGAAATGAAGAGACCCTCGGAGACCCCAACCCCCTTTTTTTATACACCAAAGAAAGCCTCTCTCTAGGACAGAAACGGCAAAGCGAATCTTCTTCTTTATTTCTCTGTGCAAAGATAGGCACGCAAGCTTTTTTAGTAACAAATAAAATGTGGGGGGGGGGCAGCTTCTCCCCTCAATCTTCACGGCCAGCTGCAATCTTAGCTAAGGCTCGGAGGTCCTGAGGGGGGGGGGGGGGGGGGTTGAATCCGGCTGTGGAGTTGCGAAGAGAGCCACCCACGAAACTAGGAAGGAACCAGAACGGAAAGGCGAACATGTCGGGAGTCTCCTGGCAGGCATTTCTTTTATTTTAGGAACGGCGGCTCAGGCAACCGCGCTTCTTCTGAACTTGGCGGTGGGGCGAGGAGACCCTCCGGCAGAGATTTCCAGCCCCAGGGGATCCTGGAGCAGCGGCCTACTGCTTGGGCGGCGTCTCCGCTGCTTCCTTGGGCTTCGCTTCGACCAAGGAGCAGGCTGGCCTGCCGTGCGGGGACTCGTAATCGATCATGTAGCACGACCGGGCGGTGGGCTTGATTGGCGGAGGCTCCAGCTCGGGCTGGTGTCCGGGGAACCAGTGGGGTTCTCGCGTCACCCCTAAGAGCAGACAGACAGGACGGAGAAAGGCAAGAGGAAAAGGAAGCATGTGTGTGCGTGTGTATAACAACACTTAGTTTAGTTTAGTTTAGTTTAATAACATTAATGTTACAGAGAAAGACCTCCCCCGGGTAGTCGCCAACCGGCATTGTCCGGTCGACGGTACCCGAAGGAGGCCCAATCTGTGCGATCTTATAGGTCGCTGGGAGGTGTGTGGCAGGAGGCGGTCCCGTAGGTATCCAGGTCCCAAGCCATGTAGGGCTTTAAAGGTAACGACCTAGGGAGTGGGCGGCATACAAATCCTATTAAAGTTTAAAGTTTAAAGGGTCTCAGATCAGAGTCAATCAATATCCCAAGCAAAGACTTGGGGGCAATGGTGAAATTCAAATTCAAAGAGGACCTTTGGGATCTCTTAGCTCACAAGCTACCGGCACTTGTATCTGTCTTATTTCGACTTTTCTGCTACCCTGTTTCTCTCAAAATAAGACCTCCCCTGATAATAAGTCCTCCGCGAAAATATTGCAACACAGCAGCAGCCATGCGGTGACCACGCTCACCCCCTCCTGCACCTCAAAAATAATAAGACCTCGAAACCCGGTAGGAAATAAATATAAATATATATATATATATATATATATATATATATATATA